GATTTGAAATATAGAAACTAAACACACTAATATGCAAAAAAAGGTTCAACATCTACTATATATACGTAAAATTTTAATTTTAGTCCTTCGAAACTAGACTACTAAATCTTAAATTATCTGCGACTAAGCTCTAATATCATGTAGAAATCTCATGTTTAGGATTAGAGAAATCAAAGATCATATTGATGATTATAATGTCACGTCCAGGATTAGAGAAATCACGTATGACCCGATATCGATCTCTCCTCTATGTTTTCTGATTCTCTTGAGTTTAGCAAGTGTGGAAAAGAAAAGTTGAATAACAACAACAGATTTGAGTCTGTCGCATAAGGTTTGTCTAGCCAGTGCAGTTTATACCACCGTTATTATACCGTGGGAGTTTACCTCGTTTTTTGCACAAAGTGCTCACTCTGTAAAGATTGTGACAGAAGTTGTAGTGGCTGCGATTATCCTGAGATTCTCAAAAATAATTGAATTGTAATCGTATATAGATAGTGTAATTCAAGGGTTCACCCGAACCCTCTTATCCCTCACTAGTTTCGCCCCTGATTATTGTATTAAAATTAAATGAGACTAACTAAGATTATGGTACAATTTTTTATTTTATTTTTTTGCAAGACTTGGGTAAAGTGCTTCTTCTTCCTAGCTTTGGAGAGCTTCCTCAATGGGCTGTTGTTGGTGACACATTCCCTGTTGGCTGTGCTTTCCATGACTCTATTGTTCACTCCAAGGTTCCCTTTTCTACTAGCTTAGTTAATAAATACCTTAATCACTAAATCAAAACACATTTAAATTTAGTTAATTAGTACTTTTGTCTATTTTGGTGTTGATCCAGTACTTTAAGGAAAATCCTGACTACAATAATACTGCTTACAAAAGCAAATTTGGAGTTTACTCTGAGGGTTGTGGACTAGACAAGGTGTTGATGTCATGGGGTCACGATGATTATATGTACTTGGTATATTCTTTACACCATATTCATTGCTTAATATTTCGTAAAATTTGATTAATCTGAATTTATACTAGCTAACGCTCAATAAAAAGAAGAACATGTCACGATTGTGGTCATTATTATTCACATGCACAGGTTGCAAAAGAGAATGGGACAACGTTGCCATCAGCTGGTCTTTTCATTATTAGATATCATTCATTTTATGGTAAGGACAAAATAAGCTACTCTTTGAGACTTTGCGAGATGTTTAAGATTGTTTTTCGTATTTATTTTTTATTTAACTATGTATAAGTGGCTAAATGTTAAATGATTTATCAAACGTGGCAGCCCTGCACAAGTCTGGAGCTTACAAGGAACTAATGAATGAGGAAGATAAGGAAAATCTTAAGTGGCTTCATATTTTTAAGTAAGATTTAAAATTCCCAAATATTATTTATTTAATTAATTAAATTTATTTTTAGAAAAAGAAGAAACAGTTTATAATTTTTTTAAAAAATTGTGTGGTACAGCAAATATGACTTGTACAGCAAAAGCAAAGTTCAGGTTAACGTGGAAGAGGTCAAGCCTTACTACATGTCTCTAATTGAAAAGGTGAGTATTTTAGTTAAAATTGTTGATTTAGAAAATCAAAAATATTTTTTCCTTCAAATCAGTAATTTTTTTTAAAAAATATATGAATAAATTGTAATATTCAATTTCTTTTTTTTTTTTGTAACTGATTGAAATGTTATATTGTGCAGTATTTCCCAGCAAAGCTGAAATGGTGAGGAGGAGATGCGTTTAGTAGCATAGGGAAAAGCTGACAAATGAAAATAAATAATAAAGACTGTAATGGTCTATAGTTTAAAAGTTTTTTTAATTTTTTTATTTTTATTTTTGTATTAGTGTTTTGCGATGTAAAAATATGATGCAGCTAATAAACAATAATAAAAGTGGTTGTTTTAGTTGATGGCCCAATTTCAGTTTCAGAATTATTGTCATATTGTTTTCAATTAAAGTTGAATGAAAATATTTAAGGTTTTTTATTTTATTATATTAATATTATAAAACCTCTAAATTTTAATTTTTAATTATTAAATTAATCTAATTTAATTTAGCTTTATTAATTAAATCAAATTAATGTTTGCAAATCAAATCCTAACAGCTAATAAGACAAAATAAGAAAATTATAAGTGACCTAAAAAATCAATCCTCTACCAAATTTGGCAAGTCGAATCGGACAAATTTAATACTAAATTTTGTGTAATTTTTCTTTCAGATTTTCATTGCCAATAATTAGACAATCGTATCCTCTCTAAAGTGTTAACCATTCATTTTTCTTCTGTAAATATTTTACAGGAATACCATGAATTTTTGTATGGTTTTGATTAGATCAACGGCTTAAAACAACACTTGCGGCTTAAAAACCTGATCTAGTTTAAATAAAATTTTCCTTTTTGAAAAGATCAAAGTCCATTTCGTTTTAATTTATACAATTTTGATCAGATATGAAATTTAATAATAAAAAAAATTTGTTGAGTTTATTGTCCTAAAATAATCATAAATATTTATAAAGTTGTAAATATCTAATTAAGAATAACCCCCCACCCCGCTCACCCTTTTTTTTAAAAAAAAAATGACATTCCGTGAATTTGTTATTATTATATGTTTTGTTACCTGCAAACCTTTTAGATTATGGTTTAAAATTGACATAATACATATATATGCCCTTTAATTTGGCTTTAAATTACATTTATGCCCTTCAACTTTGAATGTGCACAAATAGACACTTAAACTTGTATAAAGTTGAACAAATAGACACAGATATCGCATATGTCATCCTACATGTCATTTTTTGTCCTATGTTGTGTCCTACGTGTATTGTGCTATGCAGGACTCATGTGTTTATTTATTTAAAAGTTAGATAGTTAAAAGTATTTGTTTGTGCATTATGAAAGTTGGAGATCAAAATTAAAATTTAAAGCCAAGTTTAGGATCCAATATATGTATTATAAATTTATTTTGAGAAAATTGAAAATTCTATGTAAAATTATTAATCCATAAATAAAAATTATTTTAGACATTAGATGCCAATTTAATATTTTATCAATCAATAGCATTATTCATATTTGACACTCCTTTTGAAAATAAGGACAAAATTTAAATGGTAACCTAAAAAGGGTTATTTTCGCAAATCATCATGGGTTCTCTACTTGAAACAACACCCATTGGTCGCTTTTCAGTTCTATAATTAAAAAAAATCGAAAATATGACCGAAATTTCATATTTAAGTTTTTCTTATTATCATTATCTCTTATTAGTTTTACAAATTTTTTATTTTCGCGCTCTAGATTAATGTATCTTGCACATCAAAAAAATAGCTTTCACATATAGCAAATAAAAAATTAATATTTGTATGCTATAACAAAGTTTGCATAATTGCGCTCCATAACAAACATAGAAATCGTATAATTCACTATACATATACAGTTGAAGCAAATTGTATAAAACGAAGTGTATAAAACAAGAAAGAAAAAAATGCTTGGGCAGAGAGCTGTATAAAAATGAAGTGTATAAAACGAATTATATTATTATAAGTGTATAGAACGATTATATAAAATTTGAATTTGTATAAAATGAGAAAGAGAGAAAGACAAAAGAGACTTGACAAGGAATATACAATTGAATCGAATTGTATAAAACGAGAAAGAAAGAAATTAGATACAATTTGAAAATTGTATAAAATGAGAAAAAAAGAAAGGCAAAAACTTATAAATGACGGGTCGAGTTATGACCCATTGTTACCTAAGTCCTAACCCCATTTTGACACCAAATTTGAGCTGGATTGGATCCTGACTCATTTATTATAGTGACCCATTTGATCCTCTTAAATTTAACCCCTAATTATAGAATTTCAAATTTCACGAGTCTGCTACTCTTCTTCCAAGAAAGTACTAGTAAGCAAAAAGTTGGAAAACTCCCGTGAGAATACTAACAACCCTGTGAATGTACTTCCCGAGTCTATAGAGATGTAATTATCACTTTTAGGTTAACAACCGTGGCTCATCACTACAACAAATAAATGAGTTAACGGTAATTATTTAGCAGTAATAATATAATTACTGATAGTTTAGTGGGAATACGAAGAAAACACGTCAAATTTAAAATGGTTTTACATTTAGTATATAAGTTATAACAATGACTTTTAACAATTTCATACAACAGTTTTTAAGCAAACAGTTACAATAACACTAGTATTTAGACTAATAATACAATGTATGCCATAGGTAACAACCAACTGGAATAAGAGCCCGTTTGACCTAATTTTAAAAAAATAGTAGTAATAAATAAACGATGAAGTCAAGTCATCTTGTGAATTAGACCACAAAAAATACGTTCCCACCGTTTATTTAACAACTTATCAAAGCTAAATGTATTTGATCATCAATCGAGTCAATCAAATTAATAAAAATATATAGGAGTATATTTTTGAATTAAAAGTACCGAAAATAAACAGAAGTAAACTGCCTGACGTGTAAGACTCACCACACCAGTTAGAAAATATAGTTGGTCTTGGTCAATAAATTGACAAAAATAAATTGCATGGAAATTTCCCATTGTGGATTTAGTATATTATAGAATTGATATAAATTCATTTTTTTCCTGCTTAAACAGGCTTTCGACTCAATTGGCGAACTTAATTTTTTCTACTTAATTCATTTGAATTCATAACTTTTAACATATATATATATATGCAAAAATTAACTAAAAGATGAATAACTATTAGACATGAACCCGAAATAATAGTACCACAATGCATTCAATATCAAGAATCTTAAAATTTTGAATGAATTAAAATTAAAGTTTAGGTCCGCCTCTGCTGGAACTAGGTAGTTTCCTTGGTCTAGTTGATTAGATGACTTGACGAATATTTTCTTTATTATTAAATTACTTGAGAATTTTCCTTTGTTTCTATCCCTTTTTTTATCCTTCAAAGTCAATTGACTTGCTTGCTTTGTAGTATTTGTGTGTACACGGTCAAAATTCATATAAATACTTCCAAAAGCATTGAGCTTGAAACACAATTTCTAAAATTAAAGCCATCAAAGTACTACTTTTTTGGTATAGAAATTAAGGTTTGCAATATGGCAGCACTACTCTCCAACAACTCTATAAAATCCATAGTGATTACACTTATGATCTACGCTATTTTCTTAGCTCCCTTGCTACTATGGTCATGCGATGCATCTCGAGGTATATAATAATTTATGTGACGTAATATAAATTCATAAATCTAAGCAGATAATATTAAATACGTACGTTTAAATTTTAGATTCATTTCTGAGGTTAGTTCATACGTGTATGCAGAACTCGCGTCAAACAAATTTTCACCACGTGTTGCATGTCTTCATTGTGTGGAGTGTTGTGAACCAACACCCCCAGGTACCTGTTGTACCCGCTGTGGTTGTTGAAGTTTCTCTTCGATCTCTACATGTCAGAATTACTGAACAAGTTTGATCAGCAATTGGTGTGACTTTGATTATTTATACGTACATGTTTTATTCAATAAAGAAGGAACTTATTGGTTTCTTTAGATTGATTAATTTAGGAGTATTATTATGTGTACAGTGTGAACACCGCGTTTGTACCGTAAGTTTTAATTTGTATGCGGAGTTGTGACTTGTTCAAATTAAATTTACCAATACAATATGATAACTTTCAAATTGAAGAAACTGTGATCTTTTCAAATTTCTTAATTATGTGTAAAAATAAAGACTGCACATATTTATGGCATATCAACAAGGCTACTATTAAATTCATTTAGAGAGAGACAAAATGTACTCAAAGAATATCAGGTTTCTTCTCTGGACGATTGTTCAGTACACCCCCAAAAAAAAAACCAGAGTTTAAGAAAAGGGCGAAATGGTCTACTTGTCCTATTTTTCTGATTTATTTGACAAAAAGGTTCAAATGAAACAAGTTAACACAAGGAAAAATATTAGTAAAAATAACTTAAATACACAACTATAAGTTTTATATTCTCTAATTTTCCCTTCTTTTTTTAAATATTACATAATTCTTTTTTTTTTAAATTTTAGTAGAAGTGTATAGATACATAACATTCTCTCTCCTATAATACACAATCCCCCAATATAATGCCTATTTTTTCTCCACTAAAACACTCAATCTTCTAAATCAGATTTTTGAATTTTGAATTATTAATTTTAATTAATTTTAATTAAAACACTCAATTTTTAAATTTTGAATTTCAAAATTCAAAAAATTTGAAATTTCAAAAAACTGCACAATTTCTCTCCCGTTCTTATTGTTCTTCTTACTCCATCATCGATTAGTACAAAGTCTTCAGCTTTCATCAAAATCATCGGTTTTTCTTTTTATGCCTTTCCCTTTTAATCATTCTCAAAAGTTTTTCATCAGATATCACTAACCCTACAACCCCTTCTCTAGAATTTCATATGTCTTTCACTTCCACACCCACTGCCGGTGACAATCCATCTCAGCCGCCGTCGGCGGCGGCGGCTGTTCCGAAGCTCCAACAGCCGGGGATGGAGAGGACGGGAATTGTTGATGAGAATGGGGCAGAAAATAGAAAAAAATCTTTGCATGATCCTATGAATCTTTAGAAGGATTCAAACAAAGACTCTGGCATATTTTATTGGTTTCTTCTTTTTATTCTTAATCCATCATCGTCTTTTTCTTCTTAATCTGTAATCGTCTTAACCCAACATCTTTTTATTATTAATTCATCATCAGTTCGTTTTTTCTTCTCTTTTTTGTTATAATGTATCATTCAATAAGTTTAGTAAATGCGTCATCAACTGTGCTTGATGATACATATAGAATCTGTGTGTACAGTGTTTAGTCAATGCACTGATACATGTAGTAGATATGTATCACATGTTTTGCATGTAGTATGAA